TAATAATTATTAACCTAAGCAAGAGTTCTAATTTTTGATGTTTATAAATTTTTAACATGAAAAATTTAACTACTACGAAGGCAATCAATTGAACTCAACGTGCAACAATGAAATCCCTTTTTTTTTACAATTTTCACCAAGCAAATATTATGAAAATAAAGAGCACGCAAAAAATAAAAAGCGATAAGGAAAAAGCACACCAGAATTTTATATTGGTTTTGTCAAACCATGACCTACGTCCACTCCCCAGAGTCATCCGCTCCGGAAATTTCACTACAAATTATAGTTCTCCTTTTGCCCCTCTCGGCAAGGCGGATAAGCCCTTACAAGACTCACTTTCACCAACCCGGCATGGCAGAGTGCCAAGCGCTGTTCTCACCCTCCTGGTGACGGCAGAGTACCTTCTCATTTTTCTCCCTCCTCGAGAAGGCAGAGTACCTTCGAGGTCATGGATGTAAAAGAGTCTCCCCCTTAGAGAGCCTCCACAAGTTCTTCTCGGGCCACAAGAGGAGCAAGATGCAGCAAGAACCGAGCAACCATGTGATCTCCCTCACACCTCTTCTCCCTCACCGAGCTCACCTTCTCCTTCCTCTCTCAAACCCTAAAAACTTCTCAAGAGCTCTCTCTTAAGGATTCCCTCTCTAATCATGTTCCCCTCTCGATGTCTATCTCAAAAAGATTACTAATTTGATACTAAAAAACAGGCTCCAAAATCCCTAAAATATTCAAAGTAGCCGTTATTATCGTATAGTACGATATGTATAACAGTCTTCGTCCTAGTACAAAGGTTTATGAATAGTTTAAAATAAATTGTACAGTACGATTTAACATTGTACCATACGAACCTCCACTCAGCTGTTAGTATAGGATGATTGACGGGATGATCAAAACTCATCTCTGATCATCATATGGTACAATCATCTTTGTACAGTATGATGAGGCCAAATCAAGGGATCATCCAGGATGATCTCCGGGACGATCAAAATCAGCCTCTATTCATCGTATAGTATGAACATGTTCATGCAGTATGATGACCAATCAGAGGTTAGTCCTCGATTTAATCCACTAATTTTGGTTTAATTTAAGTATGTATTCAAATAAAATTATATAGTACAAACATGTTTGTACAGTATGAACGGTTAATAAAACTTACTTAAACTAATTTGGCAGTTAGGGTTTTGGATTTGTAACACATAGTACAGTACGAGAAAAATCATACAGTATGATCTGTTCACAAAAAATTATTTTACCAGATGAGATAGTATAGTATGATATAAAGTCGTACAGTACGATCAACAAAGAAAAAAAATCTTTTTTTTTTTCTTTTAAAAAACCCTCTCCCCCTGTGTATGTGCCTGGTTGCTTAGACTTACATGCCGTTTGTGGCAGGACTCAAGAAAAGAAAAAATAAAATAAATAAAAAATTACATTGTTTCAGACTCACACTCCTAATATAACCAGTCTTGAGTCTTCCTATTGTCCTGATTAACATGTGATCTTCCTTAAATGTTAGTACTCATAGGCAATAACAGAAATTAAATGATATTCAATGAATAGATAGTTCATGCAACATTAATTATCATCATCAAAATCTCAAACTCTGGGTCATGGGTTGCAACAAATTCAAATCACATTACAAGTTCTTATCAACATATTCAAATTTTGTTCAAATAAGAAATCAAGCCACAAGCAAGATTTAGGAGCTTGAATCTCTTGGAGTTTAACAAACACTACATACTATCACAATAACAAACATTACAACATACAATAAAACCAATATGTAATATGTTGGAACTCGTTCAATATGAATTAGAATGTTAAGCCTAATTAATTGTCTCAAGCCTAACCAAGAGGGGGGTGAATTGGTAATTTAAAAAATATACTTCTACTCTTGGATTTTTAGAAAACCTTTTTAATTATTAATGCAAGTTAAATTTAAAGTTTAAAAAATAAACTTTTCAACCACAGTAAACAACTTGCAATGAAATTAAATGCGTAAGAAAAATAAGAAAGAACCCACAAGATTTATAGTGGTTCGGTAAAACTTGACCTACGTCCACTCCTCCGGA